GCTGGGCTCCCTGGGGCGCCTGAGGGCAGCCGCGCGCCCCGCCCGCCCACAGCCCCCCGGGCGCCGCCGGAGCCCTCTCCCGGCCAGCTGCCGGGTCCCGCCGCCGGCCGCCCTCACCCGCGGACTCGCCGGTGTTGATCCAGTCCGGGTTCGCCAGGCTGGCGATGGCGAAGATGTCGGCAGCCAGGAAGAGGCATCCTGAGATGATGGTCAGTTTGTCCATCTCCTCCGGCTCCGGCGGCACCCGGCTCCGGCCTCCGCCCGGCTCCCGCAGCGGGCCCGGGCCGGGGGCGCCTCACGGCCGCGGCTCCATGGGCCCCGCGCCGCGCTCGGCGGCGGCGGCAGGAACGGACCCCGGACGGCGCCGGAAGCGAACCCGGCGGGCGGGGGGGCGGCGGCCGCTCGAGCGCCGCCGGTGGGTGTGGCCTGGTCAGGGGGCGGGGCACTTGGCGAGGGTGGGGCGGGCGGTGCCCAGGGCGGGGCTGCCGTGAGGGGCGGGCGGTGCCCGGGACCCCGCCGGGCCTGGTGCCCACCTGCCCCGGGCCCGGGAGCCCCAACACTTCCCTGCATCCTCGTCCTTCGTGGCTCTCATGCATCGCGGTCCCCAGAGGTGTTTTGGAACGAGGATGAGCCTCTTGGTCAGTACCAAGAGCTGGAGAACGATCACAGGTCTGTGTTCACCACAAAAAACTGTTTTCTGTTTCTCGAGTCCCTGCTCTTTATCCTTGCAAGGCTGGGCATGAGCTGAAATTCCAGAGCTGCTTCTGTAGCACTGATGGGAACAGGGGACGCGGAGGGACTGAGGTTTGACGGCTGTGGAGCCCCTCAGAAGCGCTACACAGCGTTGTGTCTGTGCCCTGGCTTTGGAAGGAAATCTAATTAATTGTGACTGGAAATCTCACCCAAATACAGCCATTTTTGATGGCATGCTTTTTAATGGACTCAGCCATACAGAACTGTGAGAATCCGTAGCCAGAAAATGAACAATGCACCAAATGTGGGAAACCAGCCCGGTTTGGCCACAATAGCTCTGTGCCTTCGATACTGTCATTCTGGTACGGGAATGTTGAAGTAAATGAACCAAACAGCCCCCACATCTACAGGTACTTGGAAAATATCTAATAGTTTCCATTTTTCTCCTTCCAACAGTGAACACCCACCTGTTTTTTCCAGAGCAGCACAACTGGTCTATGTGGAACACACTGGGAAGCCAAGGGGGTGACTGCCTGTGCTGTTTATTTTTATGTAAGTATTTTACATAGATGGCAGACTGTACAAACAAAATGGAGATATCAGTAATCTTAAAGTGTTCAACAGCAATCAGTAGGATTTGTTATTTGGAGGACAAGCCCTGTACTTAACTCCCATAGAAATCGCCTATACTTGACAAATTTTCTTAAGGGTGGAGAAAATTGTAAGGCTTTTGATGAAAAATAGCTGGAATTATTCCCTCTAAACCAGAAAAAATTGGTGCATGGAAGAAATAGTGATTTGAAAGAATCCATTTGCTATAGGCATGCTGTATTTTCTTGAAGTCCTTAGTAGAGGGAAACTCCTCTGTTCTGTTATTTTGTGCCCTGTTCCCTACCTTCCCCGAATATATAGCTGCTAGTAATGAATACTTAAGTAACAGCACTGTTGCTCCTTCTCTTGGCAAAATGTGTGACTTTTAGAGAAATAAGTTTCTAAGTAAAAACTACTTTCTGTGTATTTATTTGCAGAAAGTAAGCTTATGTAGTCTTTTGGCAGCAACAGCACACAATGCCAGCCTAAGGAAGTAACTAAGGATGAGAGGCTTAACTGTTTGGATACTTAAGAATGGAGACAGCACCTTCTCAAATGTCTCCTTAAACCTTTTATTGAAGAATGATATCACACTTTCAGCTAGTAAAGTTTTCCTTTCACTTTTCAAAGGGCTGTTGACAGCACTGAAAAACTTCTCTCAGCACACCCAGATTGCAGCATTGATGGCAGAGATTGGGATGGATGAACAAGGATTAGCCCTCACAATGGTACAAGGTGGGCCGTATCTCCAGATAACAAGCCTTGTTGAAAAAAGCTCTGCAGTTAATGATGGAAAGCTGAAACCAGGTAAAAAGAACTAGTAGTGATATTAAAATTTAATTGCATTGAAGATATCCTTGTTCTGCATTTATGCTTTGAGCCTGTCTCTGATTTATTTACACTTACAGAGATCAAAAGAAACTCAGTTCAAAATTACAGAGAAAAGAAACTAGCACAAACTGTATAAAGCTCAGTGCCAGCATTCCACTGTGATGAAATACCTGTGATCTTAAAATAGCTGCTGTGGTGACTGTTCCATAATCAGATCAAGATTTAAGCCTATACATTGTTCTCCAGCAAAAACAGATTTTCTATTCACCAGATTTTTTCAAAAAAATATTTTGACTATTACCTTTATGTAGCAACTAGACTTGAATAATACCATTCTTTATTCAGTGCAATATTGTTCAAGTAATTTCATTCTACAAGTAACACAAATTCTCACAAGGCTTGAAATTAATTTGCCTTATTGTTTGCTTTTTATTTCTCTTTATTACACAGAGTAGTTACAAAGTGGCAATAGACTAATCTCTGTGCTTTAACAATCCACACAGGTGTTCATTTCCTAAATGTTTTCAACCTGAAACGAACCGTATCAGAACTAGCAGACTATTACCAGTTATTAAAGGTTTCTTGTGGAACATCTGACACCTGTAATAAACTTGAAATTGAAAGCTCTGTAAATGTGAGTGCTTCACATGGGTCCCCAGCCCAATTACATTAAACTCATGGACTGCAGTTCAGGGATGATAGTGTGCTTTGGTAATTCCCAGCATGAAATTGTCTCTTAACATTGAAATCTATGAAGTGAAGACTGGAGCGTAATGAAGTAATTTAGAAATTTACTGGCTGTACAGTGAAAATGCATATCTTTAAATTAGAACAATTTTCCTAGCAGTGCCTTTATAGTTTGGGCAGTCCTTTCTTCAGAATTGCAAGTACCAGGAAGAAATATCTACTTGCTTGATGAAATAAAATGCATCAAGTGGAGTTCTTAGCCTTTTCTTAGGAAAAAGGCTTTACACTTTTGAGTATAAAAATCAGTGGAAAAATCTGGAGCATAAATTTGAATGAAATACTTTTTTATTATTATTTTCTTAGGATGTGATAGCATTCATCCATTCCCTGAAAAAACTCCTTTGATATGCAGAAGTATAAATATGATACTGATTTGGTTGTTGGTTTGTTTGGGTTTGATGGCTTTTTTGGGTTTTTTTCTCCACCTATAATTAGAATACTAATAATTGAATATTAAGAATATGCATCAGTGAAAATAAGTGGTTTTATTTGCAACAATTTGAAGAAGGCAAGCTTCAAAAGCGTTTTCAATAAAGGCAACAAGAATTCAAATTATTTACAGCACATGATGTGTTTGATTTACTGGAGAAAGTACAAAAGGGTGTAAAGAGGATTGAGTACTTGTAACAAACATTGTTCCTTTGTAGCTGATCTTAGTTTTTGGAGCCAAAAGAAACAAGTTGAGCATACTTGATGAAGCACCTGGATCTAACTCAGCACATGCCCCATGCAAAAAAAAAACCCTACCAAACAGCTGAATGTGTTCAATTGAAGCACCTGGATCTAACTCAGCACATGCCCCATGCAAAAAACCCCCTACCAAACAGCTGAATATGTTCAAGTCATGTTTAGGATGGACTTACTTGTTTAGGACCAAAGCTGTAAAATTTTGCAAAAAATGTAGTATTTTGTAGAAGCTCCATCTCTTAATGACAACACAAGCAGCACACTAATTTTGGCATTAATACCAATGCACAGAGTATGGGGCTTAAGAAAAGTAAAGTGCACAAATGCACTACTTAGAAGCTTTTCTTACAGTGAATTAGATTTTATCTTTATGGACTTTTTTTTCCCTCATCTGATTAAGATGAGTATAATCTGAAAAGTTTCCAACTGGAACCCAAAGGAACAGTTTTATTACTGCTTGTAGTGTGAACAAGCTGGTGCCACTCTGCTGACTTTAGGAGGAGGCAGAAATTAAGAGAGCTAGTGGGAGGTACTGATGTCTTAAAATCCTGCATTTACTCACCAAACTAGCACGGAGGCATGCATGTCCTATTCTCCATGACAGCAAGAAGAAACAGGGCTGTGTGATACGTGTGTCTCCTCAAAACACCTTCAATGGTGTAAGAAAGATTTTTATCTCCAGAAAAATCTTCAGTGGGTGTTTACTGCTGGAATGCCTCAGCTCCTGCGGGCACCTCCTGCTTAACCTCTGGCTACCCCTGACAATGTCTTGTAAGGTCCTTCCCTGCCTCCTCTGTGAGCATAAATTCTGGCTGGCAATAAAACCCCTGATGTCAGAGGCTGTGCCCATTTGTGATGGACATTAGTGTGAAAAACACAGCAAGACACTTACAATCAGCTGATGATACCAAGATGGAGCTCTTGCTACAATCTTGTACAAAGCTTATTTGTTTCTTAATCAGTTGAACTCCCAACAGTGATTAAAGATTAGGACTTTTAAAATTAAACAGGGAAAAAAAAAAAAAAAGCACTTTCCATGAGAGCCACGGCAAACAGCTTTTAAGAATACCTGGCTCTCAGTGATAAGGGGGCTCCATACAGGCAGTAGAATTAATCTAGATGGGTTATGAGGCAGTTCCAAGTTTTCCTGAGGCACAGAGTTTTAACAGAAATAAACCTCAGAGGTAGGTGAAGGAACACAAGTATTAAAATGAGATAATTAGGCTAGAACAGCAGAAAGGAAGCTCACACAGCAAGGGGCTTTCCAAAATATTAAACCTTTATGTTTAAATAAATCATTTACTATGCTGAAAGGGCAGGAAAAGAAGAGCTTGCTTTTCTGTTGACTGAGCAAAGAGAAAGACCAAAGGAAAGAGTATACAAGGGACAATGGACAATAGAATATTTGATACTAGAGGAGCTTCAGAATTGAAGAACCTGGCTTTAGAACAAGCATTTGAAAAAAAATGAAGATCCCATAAATAGCTAACTAAATGCCTATGGGAATTACTGCATGTTGTGTCTTTGCAGTATGAGTGAAAACACAGAGGATGAAGATGACACTGGGTCCAGTAGTGATGGTGGATGCTTGGATGCTTTTCAGTATAAATCTTCACAGTTACTGTGGTGAGTTCACTCATGTTACCAGCAATATCCAGAATTTGGCAAATATCTGATACAGGCCAGACCCTGGACTAGGCACAGTGTGATGCTGTACTCCACAATGCTGCTGGGGCATTGTGCAATCCTGGTTCCAGGCCAGTGGTGTTTGACCTCCTTCATGCTGAGACCTCTTCCTCCTGCCCTTCTGTATCACATGCATCCTGTCTGTAAGACTTGGCTCTGCTTCAGAACAGCTCAAAACTTGGCTTCTTCAAACCCTACATTTCTTATGATGTATCTGTTTGCTTTTAATATATGCCTAGACTTCAAAACATTTATGTCCTATGAGATTTCAAATTCTGTATTAGCTATATATGGCTAATCCCCTCAAAGATTTCTTCCAGTGCTACTTGTGGAGAAGTCACGGAGAAACAAAACCTCTGCTAGTCCCAGACAAGTAGGAACTGCAAGCTTTGTTTGAAGGCAAGTCTCCTACTTAATTCATGTAAGGATGGTAGACAATGTATCAAGAACTCCTCCTGAATATACAAGAATACATGGATAACCAGTGGTAATTACTGCATTTGCCTTCATTGTGGTGATCATTTTTTACATAATTACATTTTTTACATGGACCAAAACTCATCTTGTTTTTGCACTGTGGTTTTTGCCTCCACTGTACAGAGCCAGATTTATCAGCCTTTTATATACCATTTGCAGTGAAAAAAACTTCTACACAAAATGTATGAACTCAGCACTTTATTTGATGAGTGCAAGCCCACAATTGCTCCAGATTAACTTTCTGAAAGAACTGAATTCATAAATAACAAGTTAGTAGTAATTCATTTAGAACATAAGTGACTTAGAGCTCAGGTCCATCTTGAATCAAATCCATCCCAGATTTGTTTTTACAACTCATCAAGAAAAGGAGTATTTCCCAAATCCCCAGAAGCTGCCATTGATTTCTTCCCACTGAGGAACTTCTTTGCAGCCTGAAAATAAATCAGCAAAGTGGACATGAGGAAATATTCACTACAACAGAGTTGATGCTACTCATAGCATCAGCTTCAAGTTACTAAAACAAAGAACAAATCTTGGCACGACTATAATAGACCATCATGTAAACAATCCTCCTTTTGCTCTATAAATCTAATTGCTTCTAATGCAGCTGCTCATTACTTGATAATGTGAATGGAAATGGCAGATACAGTTGGATATAAAAGGCATGAACTCTAAAAATGGTTATTCCTAGAATAATTATTACACCATAAAATACAGTGTATCTCATTACTACTAAAGCTGTTGCTAGTTGCTGCAATACAAATAAGCAATGACTGTGAAAAAACAAATTTTAGATCTCAGAATTTTTCTTTATGAAAAGATTTTTAGAAATTAGCTTCACATATAAGCAACAAGATAATGTGCAGCAGCAACAAAGTTACATCAATTTATCACTGAAAGCTTAATTGTTTTATTAAACACCCATTATTCTAGACTCAGGAATCCTAAAAACCTTGACACAGAATCACCTGACCTGGAACTAATATGAAGTTTTCCATGACTATTAGTTGGCAGTTCTGGTAAATTTCAGAAGATGAGAATTTTACATAATTCCCAGCTACACTAGTTTTACAGTGTATTCAAGAGTCTGCTGTTAATAAAGTAAGTAAAGACATCAAAAGATACCCAGCTGGGATTTGTAAATGAGCTGCCTTTTCTATTTTTAAAGACAGAATATGTGTGTGTTTATAAACACACAGAAATGAGCATCAGTTTTCCATAAAAAACCTGACACAGTGATTAAGGAACACCTGTGGATGCTGACACATACTTACATTCACAACATCAGCAGTGGCTACAGAGTCGATTTTTTGAGCAGCAGCAGATGGGGCTGTGTGAGTGCCAGAAACCAGGGACTCAGAGCCAATTTCATTCAGCAACCCTTTTGAGGTCTCCACTGACATCAAATAGTTGGCTTTCAGCTGATTTCTGCCATCAAAGAAAGCATCAAGAATGAGCAAGCTTGTAAGCCCTGCTATTACCTTCCCTACCACCCCATAAATACAATGAGGTTTTGGTCCTTTTAACTTCAAGATTCCATTTTGAAAGGTTTTCCTTTTCTAATAGGGAAGCATTCTGTGGTTAGGAAAGAGGCACCACAAACAGTCCAAGCATGAAAATGACAGGTACTTTAACACCTACTGTCTTCCCACACAGTCAGAAGATCTCTAGCTCAGGATTTGTTTCCATTTGAGGTAACTAATGCAGTTAGACAAACTATTGTTTAAATCTAATCTTCTCATCAGGAACAGATGCATGCAGAGCAATTTTGTCCTAAGTGACAAGCAGTGAATGTAAATGCCCAGGCTCCTCCTGTAATAGTTCCATGTTTTGTTAAAAGAGTTTGGTTCTTGTGTTTTGTGCAGAATCACTGCTACATATGAAAACCTTATTTGTGTAAGCCAGTCCTTCTATTTTGAAGACAAAAAGATAGAAAATTATTTATCCCAATAGCTCATTATGAAGTAGCTTGGTACTTCTGATTGACTTGCCAGACTCTGCAAACAGAACTGACTGGGTTTGGGTTTTCTGGTGTTATTTTTTTTTTTTTGGTCAATAAAGGAAAAAGAGGAATATAGGAAATGTATGAAGCCATTCCAGAAAGGGAACTCCAGAAAAAAAGAAAGCTAGCCACAGCAGCACTGCACGTAACTCCCTAATGCTAGGCAGCTTTGTTAAAAAGGAACAAAAAAACCCACAGAATCCACAACACACAAAACAAATAATGCCCAGTATAAGAAGTCCAGAATTCACCATTTATCTACTAGTGACTAAGGCAGAAGCAATCCTGTCTAGGCTGTTGTATTTTGTGTAACTATGCTGTACATGGAATCTTTTATTTTATACATGCAACAGACAATATTTCATTTTGCTACTTTAGTCTGTACTATGTTGTTTTTTTGTACAACTGCAGCTTTAAAAGCTCAATGCAGTTTAGCACTACTTGGAGACCCCCTCCCCCAAATATTCCTAGGGGCATTTATTTCCAGCACTTGGTGTACCATCACTAATTCAGTGCTTTACACTTGCAGACCCTCATTACTCTTTTTCTTTGAAGATGGCACAGATTGCTTATTATAATTGTTTTGGGAATTGCTCAGTGTAACTGTAAAGGGAATTACCTAAATAATGCAATTTGGGATTCTAATTCAAATACATCTTGATACTACAGAGTATGATGAAAATGACAGCATGCTGACACTTGCTAATTTCTTACATTGAAACAGTCTTCAGAAAATATTAATGCTTCTCTTACAAGTTTTTATTAGGAAATGACTCTACTGGAAAATCAGTACAGCTTTCAAAAAGAATATTGACAGGGGCTCAGTTTTAATGCAGGACTGTGAGTACCTCCCCATGGAAATAATTACAGGACAAGCCCTGCTGTACAGAATAGTCTGCATGTTTCACAAGTGGCTGTGTGTTAAGAAAATTCCCTTTACACACATGAGAATTCTTTACACACTTACTTTGCTGTTGTGACATCAGCATCAGTGACACCGCCCTGAGCAACTGCCTTTACCTGGTTCAAAGCAGCTTTAATGACCTGGGGAAAATGAAACCATTTAAGATTTCTTCCCGCATCAAATTTCAACATGTTACTTCTATTACCTGGTATCTTGGAAACTTCAAGGGAAGAGCAGCTGACAATGTCAGGATTGTCTGCCTGAACACAATTCTGAGCAGTTATATAAAAAAACTAAAAACACTGTAATGAGCCCAAAAATGCACAAAAACCAGGGTGGATTTAAACTGCACTACAGCATTAATTTATACAGTCTCACATTTTCATGTAAGTGCTCAGTTCTGCCAGCTTCAAGAGACAGAATGTTCTTCATTACATACTTTGGCTTACAAATGTATATCAGCAATTACAGTCAGCAATTCAAAGCATTTTATTAACTTAAGTTCATATTATGTATCTGTCCTTCCCACAAAGCAAGTCTCATTCCCAGCTTACAGAGATAAGTCATAACTGAATTTGCAGCATTCTTATATAGTAAATCATATATATTTCCTTTTTTTTTTTTAATAAGATGAATCAGTCACTATCTCAAATCAAAACACTACTTTGAAGACTATGTTGTTAATGCTTAAATTATAATCAGCAACTCACCTCCCTAGCATTTGGAGCCTGGGATATGGTATAAATCCCAAAGAGCCCAGAATCAGAGTAATTAACATTAAATGCAGAAACCTGCAAAACAAACATTATCGTTAACTGTTTTAAGTATCACTGTAATTCAGCATCAAGCATTGGAAAGTAATTACTATTAGGGTCTACAATATTGTAATTCAAGAAGCTAAACTCCATCTGTGCTGAGAAAAGATCAGACTGGAAGCCCTTCCCTGATACACTGTAATGTGTGCAAGAACGAACCAATTAAGATTCTAGCTGAAGGTAGTTACCTCTCAAAGATAATACACATTTTACTTAAAAATCAGAATACAGTAATCCTTTGAACTTACATCAAATGGCTGGCTGGTTGCTTTAGCAACACCCTGGGCCAATTTGCTGGTAACACTGCTTCCCCTCTTGACAAGGGGCCCAGCACCTAAAACATACTGAAGAACACTGAAGGCATTTGCTTCTGGGCTCCCAACAATAGCTCCTTCTGCAACAATAGCAGCATGGACAAGGCTATCACCAGTCTGTTTCCTGATTTCTCCTAGAAATACAACAGAAAAAAGGTAATACAGTGTTCAATTAGAAACTACTGTACATTCACAGTCATGGAAAAGAAACATTTCCCTTTAACAGGAGAAGAGCAAGGCCTGAAGTTACTGCCTGTCCCCTTAGGAAGGCAGTATGAGGCTGAGGGTAATTTTAAAAAGTCCTTTACATTAAAAATTTTTCTTGCTAGCACAAAACCCAGTACCTTAGTATGCCTTATTTGAACCTGACCCTAAACCATCCACAGTGTGGGATGATAAAACTCAAGAGTCTCCATATAACAAATACCCAGAAAATAGTGTACCTTCTGTTCATGGCAATATTTATGCTGACTTATAGAAACTGAAGTTATTCCAGTCAAATATGAAATGCTGGAAACTTTCGTCTTCCCCTTCATGTCTTTACAGAGACAGATATCTAATTCTCCAAATAAACAATAGCTGTTGGTAATGGTGCAAGACACTGCTCTGAAAGAGCTAAGCATTGCTTTGATTTACAATATTTAACACATCTTCCCTAAATAGTAATCCTACCTTCACTTCCTGACAGCCCTTATCCTACTCATACAGGAATCTTACCAAAACTAAGAGAAACCATTTGGCAGCTTGTTTTTCACTTTATAGAAAAAATTATGTCCCAGGTAAAACTTTGTTGAAGAGCTGGGTTCAGTTTTATCTCAGAACCTTCCATGGTGGAATCTTCTGCTTATTTAAATGGAATATGCATCTGAACTGTCACTTCCAATGCCCAGCATTTAGTGCAACTATATAGTTTTCAGTTGTAACTTTGAATACTACTACATTTATAAACAGATAATCAGTCACTCAGAATAGATACAGGAAACATCCTTACCCCCTCTATAAACAGCCTTTGCACC